CGGTCTCGCTCTTCCTCCAGAAGACTCTGGTTATAATGCATGACTTAAGGTGTACTTTAGGTAAAGTACGTGAAGAGAGTGTGTCTCACAAACTATACCAACGGTTTACGTGTAATGTAGGGTAATCCTTTTGGTATGTGAAAACATCTAGTTTATAGAGTGACATAATTATAGTTCGGAATAATTATATGTATTAAGCTAGAAAACCTAGTGTATATGAACCACAAACTATACTAGTTTAGCTGAAAAAGTTGTAGAGTCAGAGAAAAGTAAACCCATTTATACATTTTGTTATACCAAAAATAATAGATTTAGAAAGTTTATAGCTTGGTTTAACCCAAGAGAATGTTATCTTAGAATAGTTATAAAATCTCATCCTTGGTAGGAAATTTCCTTTTATCATAAAGTCCAAATTTTCTTCTTTGTTTATGTAGTAAAATTTAAGACTTGTTTTATTATATAGTTTCATACTATAACTTAACCATATTATGCATGAAAGTTTGAAATAATTAGAAGATCACATAGCATGCACAAAAAACCTTATACACGACATATAGATGAACACATATAACAACATTTTGTTATAATATAGTTTTGCTTGTATTCCCCCCAAAAACATGAAAAATCTTGAAAAAAGTGGGGTATGAACTCATCATAAGTGGGTCTTTGTGGATGACTTAAAGGATTGAGAGGAGGATTTCGAACTTGTCTCTTGGAAGGGAGTGGATGAACTTCAAGGAAAAGTAATTATCCAAAGAAATTTAAGGTTGAACTTGGGGCTTAAATCCTTTGAAACTTGGGAATAGTTTTCTTGAGAGAAAGAGGAACTTAACAGGGAATAGAATGAAGAAATGGTTTGGTTTTGTGATGTTAATCTCGTTTAAATAAAATGAATGGTATTGGTGTGAAGTTTACTTGGATAACTGGAGGTTAATGTATGGATGTTTGGTGGATAATACGTGGGTTACTGTGATTATATTGGAAATGGGTGAGAAATCAAATCATAAAGTCAACTTTTCCTTGTCTTATTCTCATCTTAGACCGCAAACCCCATTAAAATATCCTAGTATGACCGAAATCACATGTAATTTCGGTCCTAGGATGGACTTTACTTTTAGTTTTCGGTCCTAAGTCTTTTCCCATGGAGATTTCGGCCTTAGTGGATCCTTAGGGTATGTTTGCGGCCTTAGTGGGTCCTTAGGGTGTGTTTTCGGTTTTAATGTTTCCTAGGCATTATGATTTCGGTTTTGAGTGGTATAGATTACAAGAATGATGGCCTTAAAACTCAATAATTCAAGGTCCTTGCATAAATACATGTTGTTATGTTACAACTATTTGATTCTTGTTTGATTTGTATGAACTTTTCAATGCTTAATTCAACATGAATTTCCAAGTGTATATTGTCTTTAATTATACAAATGGTGCCCTCTTGGCTTTCAAATAACATTATTGCATCAATTTGCATAGATATACATTGTGGATACCCTTATACACAAGACCCCTTAGACTTGGTTTGACCCAAAATTTTCTAGTTGTCACAGTGTGTTTTAAACTTTTTAAAACTTTAAGGTTTATATAAATTTCGAAAATTAAACTATTAATTTATATTTAAAATAAACCATAAACTAGATTTAATAATTATCTATTAATTAAATTTTAATTAATTCATTAAATCTTGTAAGGATTATCTAATCAAATTAAACAATTAATTTAATCCTAATCCTTAACGCTCTATATTTCAAAAAATTAGGATAAAGAATAATTACCCAATTAATCCAATTAAGCAAAAATTATCCAAACAAGAAACCCTAAAAATCATAAGGATATTTCGAAATTTAAGGGAGGTGGATAGGGTTTTTCAAAACCCTAACCCTAATTTTCGATTAGGGTTTGTGGAGGCTAGGGTTTTCGAAAACCCTTCAAGTCAAAACCCTAAAAACGAAAACCTTGTCCTTTAGGGTTTAATAGCTATAAACCCTAATTTGTAATTCAACTATTATAACAATTCAATTTAAAACAAAACCAATGGCTCTGATACCACTGACACGTTTTATGTAAAACAAATAAACTAGAAAACAATTCCTAAGTTCACATGCAACCTACTTTGGATCTATTATTTAACTATTGAACATATAACTTTGAATTGCAAAAACAAGAACCCTAAGAGAGGAGGCTATTTTCGAAATTAACCAATTAGGGTTTTAGAGTTACATACCTTTCAATTGTTATAGTAAACAATTGGTAATCCTTTTGATCTTGATCTTCTTGGAAGCTTAGCACCACAAATGCAATGCCACTAATGGAATCACACCCAAGAGCTAGCAAGAAGAAAACTTATGAGGAGAGAGGCTACGGTATGCAATTTTTGGCCTAGGGTTTCTTCAAGAGAACAAGTGGCCGATTTTGGGAGCCAGAGGCCTCCTTATATAGTTGAGGTGTCTAGGGTTTAGGGAAAACCCTAAAGTTCCTTTGCTTAGGGCCTAAGCTTATCCAAAGGCCTTATCCAAGCCCCTTGGACGAAATCATTAGGGTTTCCCCTATAGATTTCGTCCACCCCTTCCAAGGAGGTTCTGGAACCTTTCACTCAACTATTAGATAATTGCAAACCAGTCCCTGCACTTTATAATTAATACAGTTAACCCCAAAATCAATTCTAATTAATATCTGGCTAACAATTGATTAAATATTATGATTTCTTATTAATATATTAATCTTTTAACATATTAATAAATCATTTATATTAATTTATTAATCTTATAATAAATTAATATCTCTCCTTTCATAATTTCCTTGTTCAATTGGTAGGTTTGAGGGCAACCCAAAAGGACTTTGCTGCTATCAATTCAAGCACATACCAACTATATTTATGGGCTTAGACACCTAATCAAACACAAATTTGTGTCACTAGTCCTTAACTAAATCCGAGGTTAAATAGTGAAGTTGGTAAATTTAATATGTAAGTTTATATATCTGATGACCATTCAATATAATAAGACAAAACATCATAAATGGTCCATGTGGTATCCTGAAAATCAGAAGTTTAGTCCCTAAATTCAAAAAACCTCACAGATGGTACTTGTGGGTTCAAAACTTTTAACAAAAGGTCCTTATTGCTAACTCCGTCAAGTTTGGTCCGTTATGTGAAGGGCATTTCAATCATTTTATTGTCACATGGACCATTTATACAGTTTTTTGTTATTAAAAAAATAAAAAAATAAAAAATAATTATTTAATATACAAAGGATCTCTCTCTCTCTCTCTCTCACACACACACATATCTACGTTTTCTTCATTAATTTATGCTTAAGATTAAATTCTCTTTCAATTTGCCTACATATTAACGTATATAAAACACATAAATCAATATCAACAACTCACATAATAACAAAAAAAAAGGCCTTATGGCAAATTTGGATGTAACAACTAAAAAACATCACCCCTTGGCATTTTAACAAACACCTGGTGGGCATAATACATTGAGCTGAAAATGGATCATCTTAATCACTTTTTCCACTCTTTATTGCAGTATATATCAGGAACATGATATATATATATATATATATAATATATATATATATATATATATATATATATATATATATATATATATATATATATATATATATATATAGAGAGAGAGAGAGAGAGAAAGAAAGAAAGAAAGAAAGAAAGAGAGAGATGGGATTATATCCAACAATCTATCATATTTAAACTTGGATTAATCGAGCAACATGTACACCTTAAGAAAACTAGACCCACCCTTCACCTTGGAAGATCGAGACTGAGATGCCCTTTTCTTCCTGTCCACCTTTCTTCTCATCTGTAAAGATTCAAATCTCAACCTCTTCTTCCTTCCTTACTTATACCAATGGGTAACTTTAAAAATGCAATCTTCCCGACAAGACTTCAATTCATCAGATTTGGTTTTCCATGAAAGTCATAGTTGATGAATTTCGTGTGCTCTAACTAGTCTTTAAAGAAGAATAGATATGGACATGAAGTGGAATCGCAAATGAAAACAACAGACAGTATTGAATGTCTTTCTCCAACAAGGGAATTCTATGTAATGTCGATGAAAAGAAACCCACGTGCCATTGTCCGGATTCCTTAACGTTTTCCATGGCGATCTATGGAAAACTGATATTTTGCTTCTTTGTGAACCTAACCTTCATCCATATCCCTTTGTTCTTGACTCTTTTTTAGAGCCATAGATAAGAGAGGGAAACAATGAGGACCTTTTTTTAAAAGTTTTGAAACCACAGGGACCATTCGTGAGGTTTTTTAAACTTAGGAACTAAACTTCAGATTTCGGGATACCATAGGGACCATTTATGAAGTTTTGTCACATAATTATTTGTTCTCCAAAGATCAGTTAGTAAATATTTAAAAGGTTAAGTCTTGCATAATACAAACTTAAAGTTGATAATAAGAGTAGTTATTTGAAGAACATTAGGTTAGCTATTATTAGAATGATGATGGTTAGAATATGACAAAGAGGATAGTCACAATGTAAGTTGCTAGACAACAAAATAAATTCATTGCACTTCTGCAAAACCAACCACAAATAAGGGGTGAATCAAATCTAAGTGAAAGTACTTTAATTAACTTACTTCAAATTAGTTTCTTACTTTTGTTGTTCCGATTATAATTTGTTTTTTGCGTTTTCGTTAATTTCTTATAAACAAATTCCGCAACTTATTTTTCTGTTTTATTAAAGTTTAATTGTTAAGATTTTTTGTCCGATTTGAATCATACATGTTCCCTTTCATTCGACACCTAGTCTAACCATTGTTATGGTATTACACGATCAGGTTCACTGCCTAAAGTGTGTTGCGCTTCAAATTTTGCGCAATCGTTTTTATAAATTTAAAATCTGACTAAATAAATCACATCACATATGTTATGTATTATCGATACAAGAGACCTTGTGATTTAGAAAATACTCACATGTTCATTCGTAAGCAAATTCTTTTTATTCAACATGATATAATGCTTGTTATTCATGTAAGATGATTGGGTCCAATCAAATGCTTGGAGGTGGCTCGCCTCCTTTTGCATGGTGGTTTTCCGCCTTCTGCAGGAGGTTGTTGTCCACCTTCACTTCCAGGAGTTCCAGGAGGATTCGGTGACCCATTCCCAGGGGGAGCAGTAGAGGGAGGAGTAGGAGACGCTTTGGCTTCACATTTGGAGTAGCAAAAGCACATGTATTTTGCTTCACGTTGATGACAAGCTCCATGTTCTGCACCCTCCCACTCTATGCACTGCTTGTCGCACTTGGATGGGTCTTTGCACACCCCAAACCAGGTCTTGCTTGGCTTTTCACATACTTTCGCCTTCGCGGTCGTAATTTCTTTTCACACCATTAAAATTGGAGTTTCATTTACGAAAAATTAGTTAGTAGATATCAAGTAGAAGAGAATGAAAAATACTTTTACTCAACTGCTATTGATCGAGTACGTAATAAGTTCGCATTTACCATAAAAGTTGTTTCATTATTCTTCTCTCGTTTATCTTATGCTGACTACTATTACCTCATAAAACCTTAACATTTTCGGACCCTTAGGAGAACCGAGTAATATCATATTTAATGAAGACAAATCCACTATGGCATTTTTTTCGTATTTTCTGAAAATAATAATTTACTTTTAAATCTAAGGAAGTAAAATGACTAGAAAACTACTATATAATTGTTATCACGAAGCTAAGAGAAATAAACCAGTTCAAGAAACCACTCGTCAACGATTAAAATCTCTTGTTTTTATTATAAACGTATGACTTCATGGCTTGCCATTGATCGAATATTTAACAACGTATTTGGCTGATAGATTTTCCATCACAAAAGACGTAACATAGTATGTTATCTTAAATTCTTAAACACGAATTATATAGATTTTCGTTATTTCTGTAATACCAGTATTTGAAATTAACTCCACTTATGAAGAAACAAACTTAAAAGATTTTAGGCTGTTTATTAAATTATTTTCTCGTAGCACTTCTCTACTCTTAATAAAAAATTTGTTGTTAAAAAATAAAAATAAAATCGGAATATTCTGAGCCCTAAATAAGTTTAATTGATTATGCACCTGAGATAGCAAAAACGAAAATTGGTAGAAGGAATGCCAAAAAACCAACTGAACTTTTTCTCATCTTTCTTTTCTCACGAGGCTGAAGAACAGTCAAACTACGAGTTCGCTGAATAGTGGTCGAGATGATTGAAGTATTAATAAGACAAGGAATAAAGAGAACATTACATACCCGAAATCTTTTAAAAAGTAAATCATGATGATAACATAGTTCCACACGTGTAGTTGATACTGAAAATCATGCATACTTTTTTATTAAAAAAACTTAGATTATGGGGGTGTTTGTGTACATATATATTTTGGGTTTTAACTTGAAAATGACTTAGGAGGTAAAGAAGTGTCGTCTTTGTATACATTTAGTCTTTTTTTTGTACATCATTTACCATTTAATTTGTTATTGTTGTTCAAAATATACCACTATGACCAGGGATTATGGGTTTCCGGTGACTTTGGCATCTCTGGTCATCTTCTCCGGCGAGTCTTCGATCAAACATAAATTTTTCGATGAACTCTATGAATTTGCCGGCCAATATGAACACACTCAAATTGTTGGGCTCAAACAACACACACATGTACACAAATCTGAAACTGGGTTTTTTTGTGTATTCATTGAAATCGATTTCAAATTAAGGGTTGACGGACTCATAAGAATCTGCATCCAAACCCAAAACACGAATATATATAT